TCGCCCAGGATAATACAATAGACAATACATTATAATACACCACTGACCAGGATATATAAAAGTCGAGCCAAAACACAACACACCTGAAGATTGCATTGAAGCATGAAACATGTCGCCGTTTGTTGTTGACATCAGTTCGTTCTGTTTTGTTTTCCCAAGCAGTTTCGGCCTTTTCTTTAGTCATTTTCAAGGGGTTTGTAGTTAAGTGTTGTTAATTTCTTAAGATGTGTTGTGCAATGACTATATATTAATCGTGCTTATTACAAGGCCCGCGAAAAGGACGTATCTGGAATTCGATTTGGTAGCCTTCTATTTAAAAAAAAAAAAAAAAAAAAAAGCAGCTTTTAGCACATTATTTCCGTTGTTAAATACAGTGATATTAATACTGGGTGCCAGATGTTTTATGCAGAGTGTTTCTCTTACAACGAGATGCGAGAAAAGCGCTCTGCATAAAACATCTGACACACTTATACAAAATTTCCTTGTCATTGTTGCCTAAAGATACATTATATATATATATATATATATATATATATATATATATATATAAGCATTTAACCCCAAGCAAAGCGTGAGTGCCCCTATTACGCAAAAGGCTACAGAGAGTGAAAGTAAGGGGAATATATATATATATATATATATATATATATATATATTGATGCATGTTTCTTTAAATTATATAGATAAATTTTGTCTGTTTTAAGTAAGTTCCTTTCATATTGTCTGATAATTTTAATAACATTATCATTGAAAGACGAAAGGAAATAACAATATTGATACATGTTTAAATTCAATCTAAGCTTTCGGCTTACATAAACCATTATCAAAGATGACAATTACTTTTCAATATATCAACCAATACACGGAAAAATAATGATCAATGAAAAATTGCTGCCTAAATATACACTATATATATATATATATATATATATATATATATATATATATATATATATATATATAAAGTTTTAAGGCATGCTATATTTATGGGTTCCATCAGAGATATAACGTATATAAATGTAAAAGTGGACATTTAACTTAACTCTTAGTGGCGACAGTCTGTCTCATGCTTAAACGCATGGCCTGATGTTTGCGTTTAAATATGAAACAGTCTGCCGCCGCTAGGAGTTGAGGTCAATGTCCACTTTTAGATTTATATGTTATATCCTGATAGAATCCATAAATATATAATGTCTTAAAACTATATTTTTATTTATATATATATATATATATATATATATATATATATATATATGTATTCCCTTACTATCTCTCTCTGTAGCCATTTGCGTTCTAGTGACTATTACGGCTTATAATGCAAGACTCTTCGGGAAAGGAAATCGAGTTCTCTCAGTTATTGTGCGTTTATCTTAAAATAAATACGCTTAAATTCACCTTCACCCCTGCCGTGCGCCAACGGCTTAGGAGTAGAATCTCCGACTGACACCAATTGAGCCGGGTTTCGATCCTAGCTAGAAGCAACCAGATATCTATGATACTGTGAAAGTCTGTCTGTGGATGACACACACACACACACATATATATATATGCGTGTGTGTGTGTGTGTGTTTATGCGTGTGTAATTCAGATTTCAGATACTAGAAGCAATTTATATTAAAAAATTAAAGCCAGCACTGAACAGAATATGTATACTTCAGTAATGTTCTGAAATGCCTGTAAAGGAACAGTTTTATTATGCTTTAATGCGCGCATGACCATGACATTCTAATGAATGCTCAGCACATTGTCAACCGTTTTGCATTTAAAAGTATAATGAAAAAATTACAGTAATGAATAACAACACATAACTTTGTATAAATACTTGTACTTGTGAAAAGGAGGCACAGTGGAGCAATGAATAGCAACTCGGAATCGGAGAGCTGAGTTCGAATTCCAGTCGAATCCATTACATTCACTTACGTGGTAATGAATCCTCTTCTTCTCCCCCCCCCAAGCTATGGGTAAATAGCAGGACAGACCGAGTTCTATAGCCTTGGATGGCAACTGGTCTACCGCAGAAAAAAAATCTGCGGGAAAAAATATGCCTTGTCAGTCATGTATCGAAAGATACATGATCGCCTACACGTGTATCACGCATAGCACATAACTGACTAACTAATGAACAACATATAGTTTTGTACTACTTACAACCCTGAGGATGATCTTGGAAGAAGATCAAAAGTACTTGAGAAATGAAAATAAAAGTAATTTAAACAGCTATTGCACATTTCTTTTTAACATCAATACACGGGGGTTATTCGTGAGTATGAACGGATTTTATTAAAAATCAGCAGACATAATGTCTGTAATTTATTCAATCAGACATGTCTAATCAGACATGTCTAAAAGAGAATTTGCTGCCTAAATACACACACACATATATGCTGGACTCTCCCGTCGTATTCGATGTATGAGGGTCAGGCAACTCAGTTCCTAGTAACCGACAGCCAGACATCTGCACATATTATCTGATTGTAGTGGTGAAGGCTTTGTGCAGAACTATCCACACTCTTTTTGAAGACCCGAATACAGAGACCTGGTGCATCATGTGCCATAAGATCCTCAAACAACCCACCACAGGTTTTGAATTCAGAGTTGTCCTTCTCCTAGGCTAGTTGTCATCCAAGGCTATAGAACACAGACTGTCATGCTATATACCCACAGAAGAGGATTCATACCTTTCCTAAGGGCATTAAGCACATAAGTGAATGTAATGGATTTGACTGGAATTCAAACTCGGCTCTCCAATTCCTCAATCTGAGACACTTTCCATTACTCCACCGTGTCTATATATATATATATGTGTGTGTGTGTGTGTGCGTGCGTGTGTGTCACGTGGAGAACTATATATTACATATCTACATGGCAAAGAAATGTATAAGGAGGAACAAAAAGGAATGGTCTTACATGTAATTTGTAGATACTCCTTACCTGGAGAAGCCATTTTTAGGATTCCAGATTTAAATGGGCCGGATTCATCTATGTTCCAAAGGGAAATGCCACCATGTGCTTGTAAGCTGCTGGTGAGGCAGATTTTGCCTCAGCTTGGGTCAAAAGGCCCAGTCTAAAAGGAAAGCAACCTTCTTGTTTGGTTGCTGTTCACAAACTGAAAAACGACTGCCGCTTTGGGTCACTGTATAGAGTAACGTCACAAAGCGACCATCATGTGACCACTAACCTTCCAAAATAGAAATTGCACCAACAGAAGATAATGGTGACTGTCTAGTTGCCCGCCCTTGGCATTACCTATTACAGCTAGAATTTAACTAGAACATCACTACCAGAGTTTACTGTCAGAAACTGGGTGAAATGCATATCCAGTTAAGCAAAATGCAACCAGCACTGGTTCATCAAAGATGTCCCATTCTGCTTCATAACAATACTCGGCTGTATGTTGACAAGATGATACTGTAGGTCACTATGTGGGAAACAAGATTTTGCCAAATTCATAATTTTCCCTTTCTTTCTCACCCACTGAATACCTCTTTTTCAAGCATTTGGACAGTTTTTTTGGCCAAAAGACATTCCGTTGTAAAGTAGATGCAGAAACTGCATTCAATGGTTTCTTAGTGTTCAAACCTTTAGAGATGTATCGGAAAGGGATAAATAAACTTCGATGGCAGCAATGTATAGATGTTCAGGGTTCCTACTTTGACTGATGTAAATACTGTTTAGATACATTAATTCAGCACTAAAAGTTGATTAAAAAATTGGACATTATTTTCCGAACAACCTAATAATTTTGTAGAAATATTTTATCTATGGTATTGAATTCAAATATACATTCACCCATGCACATATGCACGATTTAAATGAACTTGAAATGAAGGAGACTAATTTCCCTTTTTATCTGACAACAATTCATGGAAAATTGCATAAACCAAAATGCCTGTCACTTTAATGTCATTTTTTTGTATTCTTCTGTATTTAAATTCACCTAACTGATACTGGGACATTCAAAAGAGGCATGGCACAGGGAACTAGAGCAAACTACCCCCTGCGGACGAAATAAAAGGTTCAGTTCAAAATTCCAATCACCTGAAGAAGGCCGGAGCATACAATGGCTAAAACCTTGTGAATATGGCAACAAAGATGATGTCAATAGTCCAAACAATGTAAATAGTGTAAATAATTGAAAACATTTATAGAAAAAATACAGCAAAGCTATGTAACAGCAGTGGAAAATTGACTGAGTCTGAGATGCTTCATAAAGTGGTTTTGAATTTGTTGTTGATAACCAATGTTTTAGAACAGTCTATCCTGCTATTTAACCCATAGCTGTAGGGATAAGAGATGGACTTATACCTTTCCCAAGGATATTTGTGCAAAAGTAAACATATAGTTGGTGTTGAAGTTTATGAGAATATCCCATATACATTTGTGTAAGGATTAAATAAAATTCACCGAACATTAATGTATACAAAATAATTGCTTATATAACACTAACCATAGTACAGCATTATATGAATTTTTTAACTAGAAATATTTATATCAGTAGTTACCATATTGGGTTGTTAACCTACTGCATTCCATGGCACAAGCATACTAGCCTACTTACTACTGCCAATATACCACAGGATTTAAGGTTAGCTTTTTATAACTGTTGTATTATTTTGGGGGGTAATATTTAAGATTTAAAGGCATCCTTATATGCAGATTATTAAATAAAATAGTTTTACTAGAAATAATACCAGGAAAATACTTGAAAAAGACAAAAAAAAATAAGATTAAGCCTGATCTCTCACGTTATGTTTGAATTCACATAAAATTAGGATTGTGTACAAAGTGGAATCATTCATGCAGACAAGAAATTCATATAAAAATATTTTTATTGCCTCAGATTAGTTTCATGATAAAAGAGGATTATTTTTTTTTTTTTTGTTGTTGACAGATGGAAGCCATGGTTTGAGGATTCAAATCCATTTAAGATTTTTGAAAGGGATTCTGGATGAGACACATACTTTATAGTTTGTAATTAGAATTTCTGTCAATTGGTTGACAAAGGTAGCCTTTTCCTTTTAGGTACATTTGCAGAAAGGGTATAATTCCAGTCTTGAGTTCTTAAGAAATCAGAAATAATGGCCACAACTGAAAAACAAAAAAAAAAATATATAAAAACTATGACACGTTCTTGGAAGAGGCTAAAAAACAAAAATATGTTGCATTCAATTATATATATATATATATATATATATGATAAAATAGTTTTCAGGCATGCTATATGCTTGTAATTAACACCCTAATACTTAAGATACCACCAAAGCAAATAAGAAAAATGAAATAATGGCCAAGTGAAAACATATATAAATATTTACCTTTCATTTAAGCATTAATAATAAAAAATTATTTAACCACTTTCCTGGCATAGACATGTATATATATTTTACTGAAAGTCTCTTTTTCAGATATGGACAAATAAATATATCCAAAACATAACATTCAAAAACCAGCTACCAACATTTTTATACATCAATCTTGATTCTTTGTATGCCCTTCTGAGCTTGAAACGAGTCCAATTTTCAACTCATATGTCTGGTAGAAATGTTAGTCACCACTTGGATACTTCAAGGTACCTCAATTTCTTAGTTACTATATTAAGAACAAATAAAAAAAAATTGTCTGAAAACGAAACAGTTTTACCAAAATAATTGACAGGGATGGGGTTAAGTAAAAAAAAATAAATAAATACAATTTTCCAAACTCAAGCCCTAGAACACACAAGAATTAACAAGAACAATGTCTGTCTGAAAAACTGGATGTCAAATTGCTACAAGTGAAAGTATAAAACCAATAAGGAGAGAGTATATAGAGAAAAAGGACAAAAAAGAAGAAATAACCACAACATTCTACACACACACACACACACACATGTACACAGTGGAAGTGAAAAAAATGAACCTTGTACCAATGAAAAGTGCATATATAAAAGAAAAACATGAAATTAATAAGTCAATTGCAAATATCCCGTGATGAGTGAAAAAATGATTATTAAAGAGTCTGTTCATGAAACTCAGAACTAAAGAGTCAGAATGCTGAAGATAACATTAATCAGCTAAGTGGCAAATATTTTTATTATATATATATATATATATACGTGTGTGTGTGTGTGAAGAAATATAGTTTTAAGGTATGCTATATTTATGGGATAAAGTGCTCAATATCAGAGATAGAGCATATGTAAATATAAAAATGGACACTGATGTCAACACTCAGAGGCCTCTTAGTGTTGACTTCAATGTTTATATATATATATATATATATATATAGTACAACTCCTCTAAAGCAAACATCACAAATGTTCGGTATTGAGAGTAATGTTCAGATTTGAGGAAAAAAAGGCTGCTGTGACAAGCTTAAAATTTTTATTAAGTTAGAGTTTAGGATACAGAAGCGAGTTCGTAACACTGATTCATTTTTATTTAAAGTGTAGATTGAATACATAAATGTACAAAAAAATAATTGACAACCAATAGTAATGAAAAAAATTTGTGCTAAACAAATATTGTAATTTGTGAAAAACTAAGACACTTTATGAAATGTTTAAAATATTATGAAATACCTTATTCACAAATAATTATAATTTGTAAAAGAAGACAAAAATAAGGATATAGAGTATATCTCCTCTAAACCGAAAATCTGAGATCTTTGGTATTGAAGGTACTGTTCTGATTCAAGGAAGAAAAGGCTTCCCTTTTTATGTCAATACAAAAGTCTGGATTTGAAGATGAGTCCATATTTGAGGAAGTCTAATTCAAGAAAGTTTAGGTTATGCTATGTCTGGATTTGGAGAGTTCTACTGTGTGTGTGTGTATATATATATATATATATATATATATATATATAAAACAAATCAAACTATTGGTAAAGCTTCCAAACACAACTAATGTATATTTGTGTGAGAAGTAACTATTAGAATATTTTCAGAGGTGCAATTAGGAGATTTATTTAGCAATCAAGTACTGTGCCTAAATCCATGAAGTTTACCAAAGAGGAAAGCTCATTAGAAGAATATTTATAGAAGAGGCAAAGGGAAGCTATGTTATGGCAGTGAGAAAGTGACTAAAGCTGAGATGTCAGATTAGGACCAATAACATGGCTGATTCTTCTTTGGATTTTGCCAAGAATCTCTAGACACACAGCAGAAGCACCAGACCAGATAAGGCATCAATATTCAATATAAAGATGATTAGTAAACTTATAAATGTACAAAAGACTTTTTTATATAGAACAGTTTGTATCTCAGAAACAATTAATATCCATTTAAAATTTGTTTTAATACAATTTTAAGAAGCTGCAGGTACAATGAGTGTAAGAGGAAATACAATGTATATTATACAAGTTTAACAAAATATTTATTGACATTACAATTTTAAAACACAGTTAAGTATATTATGACAGGATTTTCTGTTTGAAAAAGGTTTGCATTTTATAAAAGTCTTCTCTATTTTTATGTTGGCATTTATTCAATTGAAATTAAAATCCCATCTATTACTTAATTTTTCATGATTCCTTCAAGAATAGCATGTTGGCACAGTTTTATCTTCAGGTCTGTTTTGGATAAACACAAAAAAGGACAACAATGAAAATGGAAGCAATGTTTACCAAAAAAAAAGCAAAAATGTTTTTTATGAAACATTATTTTTTTGTAGACTATGTAAATGACAAAGGTAAAAATATTCAAAAAAAAAAAAAAAAAAGGCAACAACAGCAGCAAGTTTTACCTTGGTTGACAGTCAAAATATGAGATGGTCCCTTGCTTTCACCTTTAACTAACGATTCTGTAATGGGTAGACGAGCCGTTTTCACTTTTTCATATTCTGCACTTGTCAAAGTAATGCGCTGAATTTGAGATAAATAGGTGGGAATTAGTTTACAACTGCAAAAGATTCTATTCATATAAATGATGCATGTATATTTTGAAAAAATAATTCTAAAAGGGAATGGGAAAACAAAATAAATTAAAATTAAACAGTGACAACAATAAAAAAGAAAAACTAATAATTAACTAGAGTTGACACTATCCAGGATAAACAAAGGCATTTCTAATGGTTTCCTTATAAGGAAGCATTCGGCATTCATCAACAGAGCAATCAGAGTCACTTTTGGTTGAAATATATAAAAATCCTTTGAACCTAGACCCCCTGATGAGTACAGATGACCTTACCCTGGGTCCCTGCTCTCCATCTCGGCTATTCATGACTCTGGGCAGTATAACATTCCACCAGAATATATGTACTTTCACATAGTAGTCAGTATACAGACCACTAGTTTTCAAAGGGTTCAAACAATTTTTCAGGAAAATAGGTTTCCCAGGTACACTGTTACTGCTCTTTCCAGTATTGATGAGGGTTTCCTTCCTAACTTTTTGTTTGAAGTAGCGTTGAATGTCAACTTGATTATGACAATGTTATATTTGCATCACTTTACATGTGCTATCCATTTTAGTTGAACTGTTGTAAGTCCTCAAGTGATGTCATTTCTGTTATTTGTAATTATGTAGCACCAGTCTACAAGTTTCAAAGAAGGATAGTCCTCACTGAGACCTACTGGTTTCATACACTCAAAGCCATTTTTAACCATTGATCTGAGAAAGCAGTTGTATACAAGTTTAGTGCCATGCATGACATCCGTATGAAAATCTCAATCTGATAATCTATTTAAGAATTTAATGATATTTTTTTTAAATTGGTATCACCTCATGCAAGGCAATAAAGCCACTAAGACACAAGGGGTTACTGGGTGTGGAAGAATTATGAACAGAAACATTAAAAATGAGCAACAAGAGGAAAGAGTAATCAAGGCAGTAGATAGCAATTGACATTGCATTTAAATTTTTGCAGATTAAAATTGGCTGGAAAACATGGAGCCGGAAGGGAGTTCCACAAACTCCATGCTTTAATCCAAAGTAATCATTACTGGATCTTTTTTTTCAGCTATAAATAATCTAGCACATGTTGAGCATGTGAATCCCTTTTTGGATGCTATTGGCATAAATCTATGCACTGTCTTCTAAAATGGTTTTGTGTTTGACAACAGAGGATATATTTGCTGCAACAACATTCCAAAAGAAACCATCAATCTGGGCTAATAATCCAATAGTCAACAGTTTCTTACATAACAAGTAAACAATTTAATATTTATATATTAGATTAGGCATGGTAGAGTCATGGATAGCAGCTCAGATTGAATAATCAGAGAAGCAAGTTCAAATTCCAGTAGAGTTCATTCCCTTCACTTACATACTTGGGAAAGGTATGAATCCATCGCTTCTACTCCTAGCTATGGGTAAATATCAAAATAGACTGGGTTCTATAATCTTAAGTGGAAACCGATCTATGAGAAAAAAAAAGCTCTGAATTAAAAACCCTCCAAGAGAGAGTTGGTCACCGTCAAGCCATCTTGTCCTGGAAACACCACTGCTACTGTAGGTGCAGTATGAATGATGCCCCTACGATCATAATGGGTTATGGGTCTCATGATTGTGATATTAGATTTCTGATAATGATTGTTAAATTAAATCTTTTTTTACCTTTTGAACGCTTTCGTCAACAAGTCCACCAATGATGTAAATTTTGTCTGCTTCAATGGAAGAAAGAACTTTGTTAGAATCAGGTGTCAAATAAACGAGCTTCTCTAAAGGGAACAACTCCGTGTAAGGCTTATTTGAAACATCCCACTGGAAAAAAAAAAAAAAAATGAAATCTGAGATGGCCACGAATGTTATAGACAATGGTTCAGAATGGGATTAAAAAAACTGAATAAGCCAGTTAGATATCAGTGGATAAAGAGAATAGCTATCATTCATTCAAGTGTTTTAGCTTTTAATCATTTCACCCCAAGCAAGGCAAAAAAGCCACTAAGATGCAAAGAGGTTTGTGAGAAAATATATTTTTTTAATTTAAGAACGCTCATAAATATTCTTCAGTCTAACTGTGAAAGTCAAAGTAGACCATGAAGGATACTAAGTGATGTAATTTAATGCCTAATAAACAAAAATGAGTAAAAATTGTTATTGTTGATGACGAATTGTTTTCCTCTTATTTATTTAATATTTTTATTAATATAATCATTACTTATTTATAGTTTTTCTTTCATCTTTATTCATATTCTTTTTCCAGATATATTTGTTTATATCTGAATTTTTACACGCACTTTGCCTGAAACAGCTTATTTGTTTTAGATACAAAAAATATTTAAAATTCTTCAAATGACTGACAAATTGATCTGCTTAAAAATACTGAATCAATCCCAAATACTCAACACATGATCCCTGGCTTTCTTCAGGTGATTGAAATTTCAAACCAAATCCTTTATTTCATCCAGATATCTCCTGCTAATTTTCCCTCTGAAAGTTCTCCACTGCCTTAACCAGGAATTGAACTCACCTTCTTTGGGACATCTATCACTGGATCTAATCATTCGCCTTTATCCACTGTGCCATGTGTCCAAAAATTGCAGGACAGCACTGGTAAAAATGAACTGAAAACATTAGGTTTATAAACCTAATGTTTTCAGCATCATTCAGCAATATGAACTCTGGTAAAGACATGCAATGATAACAACAAAAATTGCAATATGAGCACTGGTAAAAATGATGCTGAAAACATTAGGTTTTGTTCTAGTTCCATGTGCTGGATATCCCAGTTTCAGTTATTTCCCTTTAACTCAAGTTTTTGCTGTGATCAGGTATTGAACTCACAACTCTTTGAGTCAAATCACTGGATTACTTCAACCAACACTTTTATCCACAGTGTAAATAGTTACAATACCTCATCTCAGAAATACAGACAGATAAGTGACAGGATCATTTAAATGATTTTAATTACTGAATGCTAATGAATTATTAATCTTGGTCTGCAATTTCATACACTTTTTTAGTGTAATTAAATCAGAATGAATGTACAAAATAGAAAGAGATTTTTACCACGTAATTTTGAAAACCTTGATTCTTGCGAATACACTCAGCATATAAAGAGCCATCGGGATCAAAACCAGTCAAACAGATATGCAAGGGATTCTCTGTTTTACGATTGCAGCCATAAATTCTACCCAGCTGCTGGGCTAATCGTCCTTTCTCCTGTATAAAAAAAAACAAAAAATAAGAAACATGTACTTAATGCCGTTTTTTTTTTTACTTTGTTTTTTGACAGGTTATCTAATAATAGCTGTTTATATAAACCATTATATCACATTTATCAGAATTATCAGACATAAACAATAAGCAGGATTGTTATAGAAGCCATTAATGAAGCTCTAGAAAATTGACCTTGTGCCAAATTTGTCTTAGCTTATGGGCACCAACATACACACACATATATTATTACTTTCAATATTTTATATACATCTATCCTGGGTATGATGATAAACTACATCCAGCAGCAAGGCCACTGACTGGGAGAGTGGAAGGTTTGAGAAGCATGGAACCAACTCTTAATTGCTGTTGTTCCCAGGTCTACCCTGACACAGGGAGGTAGCAAACTGTTAGGGTCTCATCTATGGACAGATAATGAACTCCCCCCACAAAAAACTAAAATAAAAAACTAGAAAAGTATAAAAATACATTTTTATAGTAAAAATACAAGCTATATATTTTATGAAAAAATGACCAACAATACATTTTTATAGAAAAATGACAATCAAAACATTTTATAGTAAAATTGAAGATATGGCATACATTAACAAAAATAACAAACAATTTGCAATGATTAATCTCATGTCTTGTAAGGAGAAACAAGGTTTCACTTGTCATTTGATTTTGTAAGAATATCCGGATAAAAAAAAAATAGAGCTAAGTAATTATAATTTAATTATAAAATTATGTTATTCTCTTGAATTAATTATAAAGTTTGATATTTAAATTTTGGCATTAATTAACCCACTCAGGTTGATATTCCACTAAATATAAAATATACATATATATATATATATATATATATATATATATATATATATATATATATATATATGCACTACCAGTTAAAAGTATTTGGCTATCCTCAAAAAATTTTATTTCTCATCCTAAAAGTGTTATTTTCAATGAAACAAGTTAAGCACCACAATGGTTTTTCTAAATACGAGTCTTTCTGAACGACATTAAAATACAAATTAAACCAAAAAAACACAAAAATCTCCTTAAACTTTTGATTCAGAAAAAATGAGCCCCTTTGGCCACTATTACTGCTTCACAGATTCTCAGCATTCTTTCCACCAAAGACTGAAGATAGTTCTGCCCAGCTTTCCTGCAAGATTTGCGAGAGGTGAGCTGCACTTGTGGGTTGTTTAGCTCTAACCTTTTGGTCAATTTCATCCCACACCAGTTCAATGGGATTTAAGTCCACTGATTGTGCCGGCCAAAACATCAGTTGAAAGACAGGCTGTACCACTTTGCTTTTGATGTACTGCTGGCAGAGTTTACTAGTATGCTTTGGGTCACTATCTTGCATGAGTAAAAATGCTGTGATAGCCAGTCTGATTGAATTTGCTCTTCACCTGGTGTAAATCCCCAACTTTGCAATTGGTAAAAGCACCCCCACACCATAACAGAGCCTCCTCCATGCTTTACAGTTGGTATGATATAGGGGGTTGCAGCTCTCTCACCAACTCTTCACTACACACAGACCCTCCTATCTGACCCAAAGATTTCGAACTTAGATTCATCAGTCCAAAGGACTTTATTCCACTGCTCTAGTCCTTGTGCACCTTGGCCCACTGGAGCCTTTTGATATTGTTTTGATTCTTCAACAGTGGCTTCTTGACAACAATTCCGCCATATAGGCCAGCTTCAAAGAGTTTTCTATTCACAGTGGATGTTGACACATTTTTTTTTCACGACATTGGTTCAGTTGTGCAGTGATGTTCAGAGCAGTCAGCCTTCTGTCATGCAAGCTGGTGACTCTGATGAAATTGTCCTCTGCTCTACCATCCCATTTTAGGTTTTGTTTTATCCTGTTTCCTGATGTCTCCTAGCACTAGAATTCACTGTAGTCCTTCCTGGGAAGTTTTTTTTTTTTTTTTAATTTCTCTGCTTGAATATGCATTTTTTTAAAGTAATGATCTCTTGTCTTTGTTCAAATGTAAGTTCATGTGTTTGGGGTATTTTGTTGAGAAAAAAGTTTTGATCCAGACGAAAGTTTAAAAATTTAGTTTTTAATATAAACAAAACAAGAATAACAGATTTCACTACTGAGCAAGGTACATTGGCAGCATAGGTAAAACAGGTAGTATCCAGCAAGCAGTAATTCAGTACAATATAGTTTAATGTGAGTTCAAGTGGTGGTATAATGTAACTTTTGAAAATCATTTTATTCATGCTCAGTACTAAAGAAGAAAAACGCCTTCAAATCAATTTTTCAAAAAATATCTGGTTATCCTAAAGTCAAAGTTTCTGAGAAAAACTTGTATTTAGTATAATGTGGTGCTTAACTTGTTTCATTAAAAATAACACTTTTAGATGAGAAATAAAAATTTTTTAGGATGACCAAATACTTTTGACAGGTAGTGTATGTGATAAAAATATAGTTGTAAAGTATGTTATATTTATGGGTTAAAGTGCTCAATATCAGAGATAGAGCAAATATAAATATAAAAATGAACATTGAGGTTAACACCCTGTTTCAAGCTTAAACGCAATCATTATGCTATATATATAAAAAACTTTCAAAGTTTTATATATATATAAATATTTCAAAAATAAAAAGAAAGTGTATGAAAAAACTTTAAAAGATACGGTATAAAACTAAACTGGAATTTAAACCTCAAATAAAACAACAAATGAAGAATAATTCAAGGAAAAGGAAAAATATTATTTGGTTCAACACTACTTTTTAGAGGTCAAATGTAAAATAGGGAAAATATTTTTCAAATTGCTTCATAAACACTTTGTCAAAAATTCTGAATCACACAAGAACTTTAATAAAAATACAGTTAAATTAAGCTACAGCTGTACTAGTAATTTAGAAACTACAATAAAAAAAAAAAAAAACATCAGAAATTTCAAAGCTAATGTGCAGCAAGATATCATTAACAGTAAAACACATAGATGTAAAAATAAAGGTAAATGTCCACAAGATGGAATTTTGCAAAATGGAAGGAGTAATTTACAAAGCCAAAGTAAAAGATATAAATGGCCAGTGAAAAATATATATGGGGTGTACTGAAGGCAGTTTCAAGAAAAGATGGTATAATTACAAGTCATCATTCAAGCTAGAAAGCCTTAGGAATTCTATCAGAATAACCAGGTATGTGTGAGAATTAAAAGAAAAAATAATAAAGATTGTAAATTGGAAAATATTTAAAAAAGCCAAACCTTACAACAATCGTAGTGATACCTGCAAACTCTGCCAGGAGGAAAATTTAACAATAATAATATTTCCAAACCAAAAAAAATCTACTGAATGAAAGATTGAAAATAATTACATGATGCATACACACTAAAAAGTCCTTTTTGAGTTTATATGAATCAGAAATATATATATATATATATATATATATATATATATATATATATATATATATATATATATTACTTTCAACATTTTATATATATATATATATCATTACTTTCAACATTTTATATATATATATATATATATATAGATAGATAGATAGATAGATAGATAGATAAATTCAAAGATTAGACAAGGAATGCTTTCTTTCTCTTTTTTAGATAAATTTTCAAGTTAAAATTTTTTAGATGAGGAATTATAATATGCCTTTTAATTCAGACTAGTATCCTGATCTTGGTTGTTGAGAATACAATGTTTCAGCCATTGTACCCTCTGACCTTCTTCAGGTCCCTATTGTATTCAGCAACCTTCTTGAAATTTTGAACCAAACCCCTTTATGCAGTCCGCAAGGGAAGCTTGTTCTCATTCTGAATTTCATGTTATGGGGAGATAACTCATACCACTTAATTCAATCTTGTCCAGGCATAGACAACATTTTTGAGTTATGGGCCACATGTGATATGGCTCATCATAAGGCTGGCTGCACTACTAAAAAAATTAAGATAATTTTTTCCTTGAAGGTACCTTAACCATTTTCAATAAAGTAGGCCATATGCAAAAGCATCTGCCTTGGAAACGGGGAAAAAATTAATTTTTTTTTCTTTGGAGAAAATATTGAACATTAAAGCAATAATTTACATTCATTCCTGTAGTGACCTGAGTAGAGATTCCAATTTAAGGCTTTTGTATGTTTGGATAGCTGCAACTTGACTCTAAGGCATGTTAGAGATTATATGGTTGACTGATGATAGCAAATATTTTTTTTTATTTTTCTGACAGGTGTACCGACAATACAACAGTGTATAATTAATAAGAGGTTAGTCAGGTAATTAATAGTTATTTCCCTTTTATATCAGTTTCCCTGCAGACCTCTTCGTGTGAGAAATATTGTAAATGAACAAGTGTAAACAAAACAACATTTTAATAGACTTTATTTTTACCATGAAATTAGGCATACTATTCTGAAAGCCAAACTGTACATATACAGCTCATGGACTGCAGTCTACCCAGGACAGCACTAGTCTATTCACATCTGTGTCACTTGTCTACATCTGATTAAGAAACAAAGGATATTCATAACTTTCACTACCTGAATACGAACATTAGGTTTAAGGCTCCTAAATTACACCACAGGATTGTCCATGGTAATTTAAGGCATCAAAGTATCGGTTAAACATATCTAGTCTCCTGGCAGTTATGAGTTCAATCTCATTTTGGGTAGTGCAGAATATTTACATGCTCTGGTTCAGTGGAAGAAATGGACAAGTGACACAAAGATGAATAGACTGGAGAATATGAACTGGAAAGTGAGATGTGAACAATCTATCCCTGTGAATTGAATAAAGGGTTCAGTTTAAAATTCTGAGAAGGTTGCTAAATGTGATATACATCTTGCTACATTGTCACAACATCATGAGTGGTTTGAACTGGTGTTTGGGCAACTATAGTCATTGTTCGATGCCAGTAGTGTCACTGCATTAGTCTTCATGGTTGTCTTCAGGCCAATACACTAAAGTTTCTGTTTCTTTCTGAAAGTCAAATCAACCATCTTTCCATGCAGAGAAATCCCCTACAAGGTTAGATTGTTCTCATTCTGCTGATCATCTCCAAGGAGATCTCATCTTGTTCTTTTTAATACTACTCAGTTACTGCCCACCATGTTTCTACTAAGCACTATCCAGCTCAGAGATTGAATTCACAATTACTATGCCACCAAATTTACAAGCCAACATTTTAATCCTTAGAACAAAACTAAACCTAATGTTCTTATTGTCTGCCTGCTGCTACACTTGATAACCTTCACCATTGCTTCTCTTTTCTTACTGCTGCTAAAGGTTTGTTTTGGTTTGATTTATTTAACAGCATATCAACTCCTTATGGATCATATAATTCTGAAATTTAATTTTCTTAGGAGCTTTGGTAATTTTTTTTTACTATCAAAATCTACTGCTGGAAATTGTTTTTTACTATTAAAAATCTATTGTTGGTATTTTTACTATAAAAATGCATGTTTTTATTTTCATCGTGCTTTGATACCAGTTTAGGGGTTCACTATTTGTCCATAGATGAGACCCTAACTGGTGCTGCCACCCCAGGTCAGGATGGACCTGGGAACAACAACAATTAAGAGGTGGTTCCACACTCCTCAAAACCTCCCAGAGGCCTTGTGGCTGGATGTAGTTTATTGTCATACCCATGACAAACTTGCTGTCATTTCTCTTCATTTCTTTATTAATTGTTCATATATGGTATTTATTTTTATGCTACTGAGGAGGCTGTCATAGTTTATCATATGCACTGATTCCTACAGATAATTCTCCAGTATTCTTCTCTGCCTAGTATTTTTACTTCATTCCACAGGGGTTGGCGACAACCCTTTTCCATCCATATATGATTTCACTGTCTTGCCCCAAATTATGATTTTTCTATGTGCTTTACTTCAGCTGGTTTCACCATTTTAATCTTAGCCACAACTGCAAGGGACAGAATACACAGTTCTTGATCATCATCTCCTTTTACACCAAGGGCTTTTCAGAAATGATTCAGAAGTTCTACAGACAATACAACATCAAGACAATATTCAGAAGCCATTCAATCTTTTGGAAAAATCTTTGCTGAGACAAGCTTAACACAGAGGAGAACAAAAACTGTATTTAATGATCTACTCCTCATCCTTAAAATTCAGAGAGAAAACCATCCCTTTAACATAAATCTCTGCCTGTTGGTTCGTCTTTGTGGCTAAATTGGTAAAAGCATCATCCATGTTAGATAGGCTCTTAAAAATACAGGTTGAAAGTTCAAATCTGATCAAAGACTAACACTTTATTTACAATCCATTCTGCTTATTCCTGTCATGGAAAATAAGACTGTTTTGATTAATTCATTTTCTTTGGCTTATCAACCCTTTGAAGGTTATTTAAAGCCATAATATTTTTGGATTGTAAGAATTGGGGGTGGGGAGGTGTAATAAAAGTTTAGTGATACAAGTATTACTAATTAACCCATAGCTGGGGGATCAAGAGGTGGATTCCTACCTTTCCCATGGGTATTTGTGTGTAAGTGAATAAAACGAACCCAACTGGAATTGAAACTCAGCTCTCCAATTAACAATTCCAAGCCATTATCCATTACACCACTCACACATCCAAGCTTACAGCACCTGGTATTCCCAAACAGTCACACATTTAGGTACTGACCAGACTCAACATTGCTTAACTTCATTGATCGTAAGGGAACCAGTGTTTCAACATGATGTGGCTGCAAGATTAAAGATAAACTAGTCAAAATTAATTTGTATGTGCTTTAGATGAAAAAGTAGAGTATGGAATGTCCATGGCTCTTGGAGATAATATTTGTTTAAATTCCGGATTAGAAATCTATTGAGCAACCAGATGACTCCCAAGCTCCCAATATGAGTCAAGTGAAAGAAGAAACATGAACACACACACACACACACACATTATATATATATATATATATATATATATATATATGAGAGAGAGAGAGCACAATATTTCTTTGAAAAGAAAAATAAGTTGTTCAATTACCTTTTCAGACATGTGATGTTCAAGGCTGAGATCAATGCAGACTTGTTGACCAGTAAGTAAAGCTTGTGAACTTTTCTCCAACAAAATTCTTTTTTGATCTAGTTTGGTCAGCATTTCCTTATTTTGACACAATTTCACTTCAAAAGAAAAAAAGCTATCATGATAAACCAATAGTAGTCAACCAATAGTAATTTCTGAATGGCATTTACTTTCATCTTTATTGCAAATTTATTCATCTCAACAATCTATGGCAGTGACGAAACATAGATGAAAAATAAAGAGTAAATCCTAAGTGAGATTCAAACCTATGTCACTTTTGTTTTGGATAAAGCATTATAAACCATTATTATTAATGCTTCATTTGATAAAAAAATGAATATAAAAGTAAATACACAGCAAAATTGAATAATAATGGCTGACAATGCTTCATCTAATAAAAAACAAAGATAAAAGTAAAATTAATAATAATGGTTTAAAATGCTTCATCTATTAAATGCTTCACAGTTCAATGAAATAATACAGGAATCAGTTAATGCAGTTACATTCATTGCATTTCTCAATTTATTCCCTTGATAATTTGTTACAATGAATGATGAAGAAGCAATTATTGAGATTTTACTTCCCATTAATCTCTGTCAAGCAGAGTGCATCTAAACCAGTAGTTCACAACAAGAAGGGGACAACACTCCTATGGTGGGGTACACAAGGTGGTTCTGTAAGTGTTCAAGGGAATTAAGGGACATTATAATGTTAACAAAGCAGTAAGATGATTTAGCCCTTTCAGTCATAATTGTGATATATCACATTTTAGGTAATTCATTTAGAAAAAGTTTAACAAACAGCCCAACAAAAAAAAATTGTTACAAAAAGACATTTTTTCTTTAGACATCACTATTGCTGTATAATCACTCTGCAATTTTTATTCTTTTAAAAACCTATTTTTAGAATTCTAAGAAAACCCAAATATATGAAACAGGATTTATGCCTTCTTTCTTTTCTTCAGTATTGACAACAAAAGAATTAGACATACTCTGTTTTATTAAATTTTTTATTAAAAATAATAATTTTATATTTACATGTTTATAAAAATATTTAAACCAACTAAAATGCAATATTATTTAACATGTTATGAAGAAATAACCGAAAACAATTTTTTTTTATATATGTACATTTATAAAAATGTCTTTGAACAAGAGAACAAGAAGATTTAGCACATAACAATGAGGAAGTGTAATTATAAATTTTGAAAAATAGATTTTCTGAACATTTCTGTCATTTGCCCTCTTCCCATAAATTCACTAAAATAGGTTATAAGCATCTGGAGAAATAGTTTGTTTTTTTTTTCTCTCAAGAATTGACAACAAAAATGTTAAGCACTATTTACTACTGCTTACTTACAAGAATAGTGTTTAATTATTTTGTTGTCAATTCTCAATAAAAAAAAAATGACAATGTATAAATCCACTTTTATATGCTTAGATTTAATTAAAATTCTAAAAATATCTTTTTAAAACAATCAAAATTGCCAAGGGCGTATACAATAATAGGGATATCAAAAGAAAATCTGTTTTTTGGGGGTTTTTTTTTGGTGGGGGTACATATGTTAAACTTTGCCTTCACTGTTTTTTCCTATATATTTACATTTTTAAACATATTCTAAACATTTAGCTACAACTGCAATATATGTATAAAGCAAAATCCTACAAGCTGAAGATAAGTATCTTCTATGGCCTGACCCACTAACTGACACTTGGCTGTTCATGCCACAGCCTACTTCAGATGATTAGCATGATTATAATGCAACAAAATGCAAACATGTGCCATTAACTCTGTTCCATTTAGCAGAGAAATTTTAATATAGAAGGGAGCCTGTCCATGGAAATATCTGACAAGAGGCAATGGAGAAGAAAATCTGAGAAGATCTAAACAAGGCCTGCACAATTAAAAAAATATGAAGGGCCACACTGATCTCAGAAAACTAGTGACAGACCACAAGCGAAAATTTTTAGAATAAATTATTGAGTAGGAGTGAGGTAGAAAGAGAGAATGAGTAGGAGTGAAGTAGAACGAGAGAATGTGTATGAGTGAGGTAGAAAGAGAGAATGAGTAGGAGTGAGGTAGAAAGAGAGAATGAGTAGGAGTGAGGTAGAAAAAGAGAATGAGTAGGAGTGAGGTAGAAAGAGAGAATGAGTAGGAGTGAATTTAAGTTCAGTACTAGATTGGCAACAAGGTCTCATCAATTAACAGTCGAATTGGCTAGATGTAACTGTAAGTTCTATGCTAACAGTTTCTCGTCACTTGTGGAACTCTCTTCCAGCTTCATGTATCCCAGACAACTTTGATTTTCAAAAATTTAAATATCATATCAATCTCTTTCTACTGTCTTCCTGATTACTCTTCTATTGTTTGCACTCCTTAATGTTGTTTTTGTTTTCTAATTCTTTCACACCTTGTAACTCCTTGTGTCTTAGTGACTTTTACTGACTTGCTTGAATTAAATTCGATTTAAAAAAAAAAAAAAGACATAAAATAGACTATTTTGACCTTTTGTGGGCGACACTTGGTAGCCCCACGGGCAGTATTTTGTGCGGGGTCTGATCTAAAACTATGATGTCTAAGTGAAAATCATAACCAAGTGGAGATAGCTCTTATGTCTAAAAAAAAAAAAAAATGACCAAGGGGACATAACTCTTATTTCAATGAAAATGTTTTTTAATAAAAAAAAAGTCATTACCATCACAAGATCTGATATCTGAACATTAGTCACAAAGTGGGAATTACTAGTGGGAGTTGGAAAAAACTGTAAACGCTTTCCAATGATTGACAAAATAAAATTTAAAAAAATAAAAGACTAAGTATACTTCATTCTTACGGACATGAGAAAATTGTTTTCAAAATATACTATTCCCAAGAATTCTTGAGACTTGTATGGGCATGTATAGCTGAGTAGTTAAAACATTAGCACACTGACCATGTGACCCAGGTTCAAATCCCAATATGGCTGAGTTGTCAAGATAGTGATTTCTTAATAAGTAAATTTCACCATGCAGCATTGTTAGGAAGTGCCTAAAAAAGCATATCACAAATTAATCCAATACTCATGAGTGAAATTGGAGAGACAAACTGTTTAGAAATCAATGATTGTGCCAGTATGAAGTCATTGTGACTGAGAGTACGAGTGTATTGGCTTTGTCCAACTACTGATAATGCCAGATTATGCACTTTCCCCTAGAAACCTGTAACTACATTCTGCTGAACATAGTTGCAATACAAACAACAGGTTGGCTCTGTAAACACAAATGGCCTGAGCAGGCAACAGAGATTAGCTCGACAGGCTAGTAAACCCAACTGCCTCCCAAAGATTGACAAATTTCTACTTGTTCCTGAGGCTTAGAGTTATAGATAAAGTGGAATGTTTAACCTCTGGGCTGTAAAAAAAAAAAAAGTGTTTAAAAAGGAGTTATTCCCTTGACACCACTATTACTGTATACACTTTTGACTCCTTTGGCAATGTTTATTGTTTTAAAAAGTGATGATTGGAATTTTAATAAAACTCAAACATAGGAAGTTGGATTTACACATTTTCTTTATTCTTGAGAATTATCAACAAAGATATTAAAAACTATTTTTTAGATTGTTTATTTAATCTGTCAGTAGATTTACTAGGCAATTTTTAAAAATTTTTTCGAAACCAGAGTTTTTTGGCAACACACAACATGTGTTGAAATCCATACAGTATTTAGTATTGTTGAAGTTATCACTAACATTTTTTTGTTGAGATTTACAAACTGTTTTGTTCAATTTTGCAAACCAAACAATGAAATTTGAATAAGCTGATTTATTTGGAAAAATACTTTGACAAAAACACTACTTTGCAGTTTAATAATTTCTTGAATTTAATTTTATAGGACTTCATGGTAAACAATATTTTTTAACAAAATTTCTTTTTTTCCTTTTCCTATTTAACAGGAAAGAATAAATTTTTAGGATTTCTTACACTTGATAATGCAACATACCTCTGGACAGGTGTAAATATTTTTTTCTGGAGCCAAGTTCCAACTTTTTGAAGGGTTTGACCTTGTGATTTGTTTATAGTTCTCGTAAACACAGGTCAAACTGGAAACTGGATTTTTGTATATATATATATAAAAACTTAAAGAAAAGATATGCAAAAAACAATATTGCATTTTTATTAAATAAGTATTTGTTATTTTAATCATTAAATTGTTTTTAAATGGTGTGAATATTTTGTATGTTAAATAATAAATTTTTTAATTTTTCCAAAAAAAAAAAATGAATGAAAATATATTGTACTATACTACACACTGAAGTAAAACTAACTGTACTTTGTACCCTTTTAGCTATTTGCACTTCTCCCGAAAATTTGATTTTGATTTGTCAATGTATAGCTATTTTAGTGGGCATGGCAGACGGACTAACAGAAGTTACAGAATTTTATATATAGATAGATAGATTGTTTTTCACAAAAGGGAAGGAGGGTAACCTGCAATTGCTGGAATTTCAGACCTTGGATTTCTATTGATAAGTCATCTTTGATCTGAGATCAGAATTATAAAAAAAAACACACTGGAAAATTAAAACAAGAAGTAATCTGAGATAGAAAATAATCTGAAAAGAAAATGTATTACATCTGAAAAATCATAAGTTTATTTAAATTTTCTTGTTCTGTAATTCATTGATAATTTTATAAATTTATAAATAAAAAGATTTGTTTTCATAGTTATTTATAAAATGGTAAATAATAAATATTTCATTGTAGTTAGAATAGTAATATTTTTTTCAAATTTATTTCTTTATAAAATGGTAAATAATAAATCTTTGATTAAATATCACATTGTACTTGATTCACCTATTTTTATGATCATGTAAACAAACATTGCCAAGTGATTCAAAAGTGTATAGTATAATAGTGGTGTCAAGGATATAATCATCCTTTCGACATACAGTTTTTTTACAGGCCCAAAGGTTAAACTTTACCAATAAAGCATTACAGATAGAATTCATTCATCTTTTTTATCGTTTGTCGCATGTCTTTTAACCTTGAGGACAGCAACCTTTTTTATTTTTTTTTTTAAATATCATTTAAACATTTACCTTAAAAAATTTACTAGCTTTTCTTTTCGATTCTAATACTTTCTTTATTCTTTTTTTTCATGCCATATCATGCCAGGATATAGGTGATTGTGACTCTCCACATATACCATTTCTTTATTATCTTTAAATTGGCATAAAAACTTGGGAAAGATAATGAAGTGGTTTCCCATTGCCGTCTTCACAGTTTTCAATTCATACTTTTCTTTCTCTTAGACTAGTTGCCAACCAAGGCTAGTGTGCTCAGTCTGCTGGGTCTAGTTCATAACAGTCCAAAATCAAATCACTTTTTCAAATGTGTCACTTCACTAAAAAATCCAAACATAAAAAATTAAAGGGAAATAACTGTCATATTTCAGTGGTGCTTTTCTTTAATTAGGTATTGCTTAAAAATTACACTCATTAATTTTATTGTTGCTTATTTATGCTAACAAATGATTGGTAACAAGTCAGTCGGTTTGTTTAAAAGGATTATTTAATGTTGAAATCAGTTAAGACCAAGAAATTCTCTTTTTTTCAGGCAACAAAGATAAAATATAAATAAAATATGATTAAAATATAAATATTAAAATAAATAAAAATTGTAGTATGAATTAATGCAGAAGACTTTTTTAAATATTTATTTCTTTACACATGTATTTTGGAAAGGACAAATATTTAAATGAGTTTGCTTTTTATCATATTTTTACTCATTTTTAAATTTTCCTTCAATAAAACTAAAATAATAAGCAGTATTATTATATGGATGGGGGTTTCCTTCCTAACCTTTTGTTTGAAAACGTGTGGAACATCAACATTTTGAGTATTTCATTATATTTTCTTCAATTTAAACATGATATCCATTTTAGTTGCCGCTGCTGTTGAAAGTTTGCTGTTTCTGTCATTTGATACAATTCTTTGTGATTCTGTAGAAACAGTCCACAAGGTATGAAGAAGGATAGTCCACATTAAGACTGACAAGCTTCATTCACACGAAACAATTTTTAGCCATTGATGTAAAAAGCAGTTGTATACAGCTGACAGTTTAGATATTTCTAAGTGGGTTTGGCACCAGGCATGACATCCATATGAAAGTCTCGATCTGATGAGACTATTTAAGAACATTTCATGTTTTTAGGATAATGTTTGAGTCAACTGGTAGTGTTGGGCAAAACTTCCCCAAGCATAGATTATTACACATTCAATTTCCTTATCTACTTATACTAAATTTGTTCTAACTAATCCATACTGCAAATAAATGACATACAAAAAGGACTTTTTTTTTATACTCTTGACACCCTCATAAATTTTTATTCTTTTAAAAAACTATTTTTACAATTTTCATAAAGCTCACATATATGAAAATGGATAACATGCAGAAGTGAGGGGCAGAGGGTACGACAACTCCGGTCATCCATATCGGGAGCTCATCCAACCAAAGAGTGAAATAAAAATTTAGTTTATATTTAATTTGAATAAAGTGTTTATTTCATGTTTTATCTGTTTTTACAGATTTAAAATGTCTTCCTTTCTCACATTTCTCAATACTAGGCCCTATAGCTGCCCTTATTCGAGTCTTGGGGCATACAATCAAAGAGTTGGCCCCAGGTATCACCAAACCTCTGCACATCACTGGATTTATGCATTCTCTTTTTTTCTCAAGAATTGACAACAAAAATATTAAACTGTCTTTACTTTATTAGATTGTGTATTTACAAGATTATGACAATATATGATACAACTACAATGAAATATGTATTATTTACCATGTTATGAAGAAATAATTAAGAAAACAAATTTTTTATTCATAAATTTATAAAAATATCTCAACTAGAAACTTTAAATAAACACAGAACTACAAATAACTGTAACTTTAATTTTTTTAAAGATTCATTTTCCAGCCATTGCTTTTATTTGCCACATTTCACTAAAATAGTTTGCAAGTTCCTAGATTTATCCTTTCTTTTAATGAATTGACAGCAAAAATGTCAAGCACTTTATTAGACTGTTTATTTACAAGAATAGTGTTTAATTCTTTTGTCGTCAATTCTTGAGAAAAAAAAGAGAATTCATAAATCCAGTTTCATATATTTGGGTTTTATGAAAATTCTAAAAATAACTTTTTTAAAACAATATGGGGTATAAAGTAATAACAGTGTCAAGAGAAAAAAACCCTCCTTTTGATCCACTGTTTTTTGTAGATATGTATGTTAAACTTTGCCAATATTTTTTTAAATATCCCTTCTCCTCTTCTCCTCCTTCTCGATGGTGGTGGTTGTAGTAGTAATGATAATTAAGTTTTGATCGTGTCAAAAAGTATTCTAAAACAATTATATAAAAAGCACTTATTTCCAAATGTATAGAACTAGCAATTCCTTTCAAACAACAAAAGAATTATTTTATAACAAATGATTTTTCGGAATTTAACAGATTTATAGATCAACAATTCTTATCTGAATGATTAAGAAATACAAATACATTTTATAACACTTGATCAAATACCAAAAGCAATTGAGTTAACCTTTTGTTATAGAAAGGTTGAAGAGTAACTCGGAATTGAACTGGAAAAATCAAGAGAAACCATTTTACCAACTGCTGAATTCCGATCTCTTTCTCTCTTCTCCAATTTCTTCAGTTTTCGTTTTTTTCTTTTCGCTTCCAAGACATTCTGCCAGTGTGCTTTTTTCTTTTCAGATTTCTGCATTAAAACAAATGATAAAACATATTTAAAAATTGTCTAGAAGCAGATGAAGTTAACACAAGATTCACATCTTTTATATGTTGCAAAAGTCACAGATTTATAACTTTGTTACATCTCAAAAAACAATTCCAATTTTACTGAAAATGTTTTCCTTGGACAGAGAAGAAGTGGAGATCCAAAACCGTTTACCATATATGGGTTACTACACTTGACTTTCCTAAAATAACCATCACTAAGGGATGCTCCTTAAGCCTATAAACAGGAATATTCTCAAACATTCTCTTTACTCTTTTACAACTCCACTTATAAGATGTAATCACATGTGGGGAGGGAAAAAAAAAGTATCCTTCACTGGGGCACGTTCATTTTAATTTCAATGTATTACTTTTTTCATGATTTTTTGTACTCCTTCACACACGTCTATCATATAGGCTTATACAAGTATCACATGCACACATTAATCTAGTTTAAATGTTTCCTATGTAATTAGTCTTTAAATGTTTTCTTCTTTTATTGTATACTTTTGTTAATATATACGTTGTTGTTTGTTTTATATTGCTTTGTGTTACTCAATTATTACTCGGACACACATTAGAGTCCACAATAATTGCTACAGGAAAAATAATACCAGGAGATATGCGTTTTCTACATAAACACAACAAGCATTCCCACAACACATATAGTGTTGAATAAGCTGACATTTTTAAGTGGCGTTCACAAAATTCTCAATAACAATAAAAGCAAGACAACTATAAGACAGTGTTGGATTACCACTCCCTGGTGATAATCACAAAAGCCCTCTCCCCTAAGGCACTGGGCAAAACCGCCAATCCTCCTCACTTTTAAATCAAGGGGAAGGTGTTGCCTGCAGGAGCAACACTCTGGGAGAGTTGATTTTATGTTGACAAGTGCCAGAAATTTAGATACTTAATGTTATGGAGTGGTTTCACAGTGGAGGCTTGTATTTGTACTAAGTCGGTCCTAAAATAAGTTTGACGTACAAAATGTTAGGAACTTGATATAATAGGTAATGACGCAGAGAAAACTAGTTGTGGTTGCTGATACTTTAGTTGTCCGGCATCGACTGACTGACCGACCCACTGAGCGACTCCCTCGTTACTCTTACTACTCCTAATTATTATAGGTGGGAGAGTCCATTAACTATAGAATAGGTGTGTTCCACTATAACACTTAATCAGCTCGATAATTAATTGAAAGATTACGTAATATTTTGTAAAACTTTGCTAGCAATTACCCCAAAACCAATAAAATAAAAAAAAATAAAAAATCTATTTAAAAAATGGATTCTCATGTTTAAGGCAACCTTCTAAAATTTCTGCTTTTAACTTATTAGTAGTGGGGTGGGGTAAAAGCTGGGATTAAGAGTATAGTTAATTTGGCTTAAAAAGTTACCCCTAAATTGAAGCAGTAAAGAAATAATTGTGCTTAAGAAGCTTAATCCTTTCAGATATAACCTAGTTTCCAGCAATGCCCCAGAAGTGTTGTGTCATTTCTTGCAAAACAAATTACAGAAGCCAGAAATACAAAACTGTGTGTGAGATGAATAAAATATCAATTTATCGTTTGCTAAAAGATGAGAGAGATCAATGGAGAAAATCAGTTCCAAATGCCAATCTGAATGTTACCAATACAGTTATTTGTCAACTACATTGTCCTTCAAATTTTGATACCATAGAAATTCATGGAAAAATGTGCCCCCCAAAATCCACGAGGTGTGCCAAAGAATCAAATACCAACACCCTCTACAGTTCAAAGGGATATAAAAAAAAAAAACCTCCAGTACTGCTCAAAATCAAATTGATGAAATAAATGCTTTTAAATTAGATAAGATTAATTATACAAATTTGAAAGAAAGTCTAATCAACAACAAAAACTACTTTGTGTGTCCAATTGTAGCATTTTGGGCTTAAAATATTTTAACGGTTCAGTTATTGAAAGTTATCCCTCTCTTTATGTTGATAATTTATGTTATGATGTTGAGAATTTATAAAAAGTCTATAGTCTATGTCAACACCTTTTAGCTACAAGCCATAAATATGTCCTATTTGGCAATTTACAACTGATCCATGAGAAAAAGAATTTAGTAAATTTCATCAAGGATCAAGTGGCAACTATTTTATAAATGTCCAAGAGAGTTTTGAAAAGCTGCATATTAACCAGACATCTTTACTTTTAAATCAGAATGTAAATATTGATGCCAGGTCACCAATGTACATCTTGTGATTATAAACTTTGTGAAGAAGGTTCAGAAATATTTGACAATCTGGAAATTTTAGAAGCATCTCTTTCTGATGAAATAAAAATGGCTCTTGTATACATAGCTGGATACAAGAAATAATAATCAACACAATGAATATGAAGCCAATTTTTATTATGAAAAGTATGGAAAATATACCAATTGACCATGGAAAACTAAAGGTTCCTTCTGACCACACTTGATGATGGTTATTTTTTTTGTTTCATCCTTTTCCATACAATAAAGGAAAAGGTTTGCTATAAATCATTAAGTAAGATTTTTATGCTTATTTCTGAGTTTCATTTTTTTAACATGGAGAGAAAGCATGCTCATATTTTTACAAATATAGTTTTGAAAAACTTCTACAAACATTACACACCCAGATTAGACAAAGAACCAGTTTTAAAGGTTTTGAAACTATCCTAGAATGACTTTGTTTTATCTGACTATATTTCTGAGATGATTGATTGTCATATAGACATTTCGGTTGATGCCTTCCAGCCTTCTTCAGGTATTACCTGTTGAACCCGGTAACTTTAATGGAAATCTGAACCAGACACTTTATTCAATACCTGGACAGAGACTGAATAAAGGGTTTGGTGAGGCCTGTAAATAGTGTGAATGTTTGCATTTCAACATTATGTGGATCATATTTTTTACCAGAAATCTTAACTACTTCTTTGTTTTGTTTAATACTTATCAGAGTCCACAAAAAAAAATACATATTTTCATTTATTTAACTTTTAACACATCCTATTATCCTCAGGTATGGATCAAAATGTTATTCTAAATATTTTGAAAAATAGTTAACAATTTTCTTCCAAAATTTCTGAAAATCAAACATTTTTCAATAGGCCTCCAGTTTTAGCTCTCATTTGTGCCATGAGAAGGCCTGGAGTATAGCACACCATGGTTTACACCAAAAGATATTATTCAACACTTACCGTTAAATGAACTTTTTCTGGAATGTTCTTAAGTGATTCACCAGCTAAATCAGAAGTAACACCTGAAAAGTTTTCCATTAGATTTTAGCTACACCTGTAAAAGATAAAAACAAAACCAGAACACAAAATTTATTCAATACATAATAAAGAACATTTTGACATCAACAACTTGTAAGACAATTTCAAATCGAGTATTATTAACACATTGACTACCAACTAAAAATCAGTTATGGGACATATCTAGCTGCCCCTTTTTTGCTGTTTTTTTTTTACAGATCACAACATCTATCAGGGAGATGAAATTTAAATTGTTATTACTGCATAATTCCAAAATTTTAACACATCATCAGATAGCTATTAATGTCAACAACTGAGCAAAAATAGTTACTAATTAAAAAAATTGGTAATTAATGTATAATATTATTCATAGCTACATGTACAAGAATGTCGTTTTTGATAAAAGTTAAAAAAATAACCTTAAATACGTAGAAATCCATATACTGTCGAAAATTCCTTTTTCCACAATATAGCTATTTGTGCTATGTTATAATGCTTATTACCTAAACAATAATAATACTGAATATTTTTTTAAACATTAAAGTATATTTAATCACATCTCTAACTCTTCAAATGTCAACATTATTATATTCCGTGCTAATAAGAATATATACTTGAAAAACATGGTGGATAAAATAAGTTTTCTTGTAAAAACCAGTACAATAAGGGTAACAGTTATGTACAAAGTCATCGCAAGTCAATCTAGTAGTGAGTACTACTTTTGGAAGGTCAGTAGTTCTTGTGTAAGTCTGAGTCATATTCAACAGATCCCAGATAGTATATTTAGCTACCCCCACCCCCACAAGGGTTGCATGTGGCACAAGGCTGGTTTAGCATGGGTTCTCCGAGCCCGTAGGCTCGGCCAAAAATATTCCCTTTTTGAACCTGCATAAACAGGCTCAGGGTCAGTCTACAATCCTGAACGAGACTCTGCCCTTTGGCGGAGCCTCGTCCAGGTTCCTTTCTGCCCGAAGGCAGAGAGTTTAAATGTTTAGCTGGAACAGGTTGCAGCTAGACTCTGTAGTTCGTTGACTTACAGATACTTATAGGTAGTTACTACCTATAAGGTAGTCACTCATAGGGGTGACAGGTTATTCCATTATATCAGACATAAAAAAAAAAAAAATTATTCTAATTCCCATAGTGGAACTTTACCTTATTTAGCTACCCTAAGTTACTTGTCTCCTCCTCTAAAACTGTTTATACTATATTGATTATAATTTATAAACCTAATTCTCCTTCTGTTAATTCCCTACGTCTCTTTATCCATAAATTCTTTCAAATTTATTTTTGGGTTCATTCTTAATTTCTTCTTTAATTTTAAATTTCATTTAAAGACTTGTGTTTAATTTTAAGACCCCTATTTGTCATCATAAGGGTAATATTCTGGGCTTTCTTTAATGAAACGTCCCCTTTAAGATAGATACCTATCTCCCTCCTTAACCTCTGCCTTGTGCCTAGCGTCCAACTAAAACAGTGAAAAGTGAAAACTCTGTAGTAGGTGTTTTCGGCAAGTTAAGGTTTAGGTTGACCCTTTAGCTTCCAATATCAATTCCTAATAGTTAACTTCTTCTTCCTCTAACCTTACAGATGTGAACTTCATTCCACACCGGGGTTGAAAAGACAGACAACCACTTTCATTGTCTGCTGAAATAGTCTATTCCCCATATGAGGTAAAAGGATTTGTTTGATTATTTATTTATATATATATATATATATATATATATATATATATATATATATATATATCTTGTGTCACATTCCGTTCAACAAGTAAGCATTCAGTTAAATTACCTGTTCTGTTTCTTACACTTACAGAAATTATTTAGGACAGTGAACTTAATAATCCCAAGAAATATTTTATAACAAGATAGTTTCAGCAAACCAAAATATACAATTCTGCGGAAAACATAAATATTGTTTCAATTGCCTCAGATTTTGGAGTGTGTAGTCGCTGTCTTTTTTTCTTTTCTTTTTTTTAAATATCTGTTATACTCTGTAGCATTTAGATCTTATTCTGATTCATTCTACACACTAGCCGGATGTGAATGTCATGAAAGCAGAGGTCAAAACAACAAAAGTCATTTCTGTGCATTGGGCTCTGTACAGTGACATCCAATCTACAAAGTGAACTCTGGCAACCACTACTGCTACCCTGACCCTGTCACCATGACAACAGAATTGCAGACCAGCCACTATGCAAAGTACTACTACCACCACAGTTGCTGCCTTCAACGACCATTACCACATCCTGGCTTGACCTACACCTTCGGCTATCCAGTTTTCAACTCAACATCTCTACCTTGATTCCTCCCAGCTATCGGGAGCTGATCTGTGGAATGGATGTCGTTGGGGTCAAACATGAAGGGAATGCCTTGTAATCGAGTCGAGATATGTCGGGCTAGGCTGAGGTGATGGAGGTCATTGACAGATCAGCTCTACCTTGACTCGTTTACAAGGCACTCCCTTCAAAATTGATGCAGCTACTCTCCATTCCACAGAACAGCTCTACCTCGACTAAAAAGCACTCCCCTTGCAATTGATGCAGCGACCTCTGTTCCAAAGAATTGGCCTCCTGAAACCCGCCATCATCTCGTCCTACCTCAACTCGTTTACAAGGCACTCCCTTTGCAGTTGACCCCAGCGACATCCGTTCCATACAATAGAACTACCACGACAAGACGACCTACTACCAAAACCACAATCAAGCAAATGTGCACTAACCATATCTTGAAACCCAGGCCACACCGGCATAATAAATGGTTCAATCATCGACATTACATGTACACCCGATTATATTCCTGTATTATCTACTGGCAATAAAAGTTGTCTTACTCTAATCCTCGTTATTCCTTTCTCTTGCTACCATACGCTTAATATCTAAAAGTAAAAATTAAATTCGGAAATAAAAAAACATAAAAATAAGGCTAGAATCGGAACAATAAAACAAGGGCCATAATTCACATGCACAAAAAAAATGAAATTAATTTTGTTAATCCATTTGATTGTAAAAAGAAAATATAATCATGGTTGAGTATTTCAGCAACAATGGCTTTTGTGGGAACTGAAAGAAATTACAAAGAATATAATTAAATACTTTGTAGAATTTATTCCTGATATTTTGAGAAGCAGTCATGCAAAGACGTATTAAACAAAGTTCTACGATGATCATTATTAATGTTGAATCCACTTATATTGGGCTAAAAAAATTGATCTGGCATAGAATCACAAAAAGTTAATAAATAAATTATATGAATCTTTTAGTTCATGCTCAAACATTGAAGATTCCTGGCTTCACCAAAAGCGGTTTTTTTTTCTCAGGAAAAAAAGTATAGAGGCATGTTAAGAGGAATGACCATTGTGGATGTTTGTTTATGGCTGTGTAAATAACATGCCCACACAATTTATATTAAACATAAAATACCACAAAGCATGAAATACAAGAAGGAACAAAATGATTTTAAAATATAACATTGTATTTATTTGTGTGTTGATGTACATGCATAGAAGTTAAAGATCTGATGAGTTATGTCTCTTAGACTAGGAATATTTTTATCGGAGTACACGAAGTTGAATTAATTATTAAACTGTAGTTTTAGAATATTTCAAAGAGAAAAGTTCTTGTTGCATGTTTTGAAATGTTCTGTATGTTTGTAATGTAGGTTGGAAAAGTTTGTAAGAGTTCGTACGTACGTGAATGCATGAAATATTATTTAACATTTGGCCGCATGGTCAAGACGATAATTCTTAAAGGTCACATCTTCGCAGGAAGAAGAGAGAAAAAAGAAAAAAGAGAAAGAAACTTGTGTCTGTTATTTATAGATAATGTAATCACGTGACAGGATCAAAAGAACTTATTGGGAAACTAGACTTGATCACATGCTGGAAAAATATATTGTGCGTGGGTGGATTGCAACACCCACTTGTATGTTTATTGACCAATTAGAAGCTGATATTTCCTGAAAATATCTACTAAGCTGAGAGGGCTCTTGGGATCCATTTCTCCCAAAAGTGCACAAAATCGACTACATGAAAATATAGCAATGACAAAATTGTCACATTTGTAAATTGTCTATTACAAAGTAGTGTTGATTTATTATCCAATGAATGCTTGTTGTTGTATAATTTGAATTTGTGTAAGTGTGTGTGTGTGTGTGTGTGTGTGTGATGATCATTACAAAAAAGGAACCAACAAACATCCACACGAATGGGAATAAATTTCGGAAAAGAAAATCAAAAAATGTATTTGAAAATAAAAAAACAATAAAAACGATATAAATTATAACTCGCGAATTATGGTCCCTGTTTTATGGCCCTAATTCTAGAGACTTTTTTTTTTTACTACACATGGATTTTTTTGTTGATTTTACTGCCGTAAACATTTTCGCATAACAAATACTGAGTTACCTCCCTTATATTTCTTTACCCAGCTTTATATCCAAAGCCGAGCTTTGGATTTGATAAGTCATGCAACAGAAATACAACGAAAAATATAATCAATATAATTTATTTTATTTCAACTATTTTTTTTTTTTTTCACAAATAAAAACTAAATTTAATTTTTTTGTAAAAAATTCACGAATATATTTCAAATATTTGCTCTGAATATGAGGTTAAAAAAAAGACATTTATTCAGAGTTCATGTTTTGTTTACAGATTTTTACTTAAAGGAAAGCGATCATAAAAAAAAATCAACATACCCTAAAAATAAAATCTAAATTTAGTAAAAACAGGAGATAAATTTAGAAAGCTAAATTAAAATATCTTTTTTTTTTAAACAGTAAATAAAGAGAAATTAGAAATTCAATAACTTTTTTTTAATTTTCATGGCCGAGGATTTTTCTAAAATTTATATTTTGTACGATTCTGAAGCACAGCGCCCAAAATTTCACGGTTGTTGTTGAAATTGACATTGAAAGTACTTTAAGATCTTTTTATGAATTATATATTGTGTACTGTAGTTTATTCGATTTCTTTACGAAAAATACAAAGTACACGAAACTGTATTTTCCTATAAAATA